TTAACCAAAATCAAAGATACCCTAGTTAGTATCTGAGACAAATCGTCTAACAATACTTACTTACGGATAACACCTCATCAAGGAGTGATTTACCACGTTCAAAACTCAATGAAATTCAACACTATAGACTAAATGTAACCAAATGACATTGTCAAAGGTAGAATCGTTATGCCAACATGGAAAAACCATGCAAGTTTAACGACACGATCCTCTGTAACACCATCCGGTAAAGCAAGCCCATTACTGCTAAATCATCATCGAGCAAAACAAGTGTCAACAATCCTTGACAAAGTTTACAAGTAATCAGTAGTCGCAAAGCAACTAACAATCACTCTTCAACTTGAACACGACAATGACTACTTAAACCAATAGACTAATCCCTACAGTTTTGATTGATCCACTTATAATCATGCTTAGGAAGGATCCACTAGTGCCATGCTAAACAACTACAGACCAGCCTATTTGCCACTCATAGCAAACCCAGAGGAGGTTCACTTTCACCCACGGTACATGGAAGAACTCATGGAATCACCGATAGGCTAACATTAATCTTGCCAACTCAAAGTGTAACTTTGAGTTGCTAATGCGCCGCACTCACAAGCCCAAGCGCAAACTCGTACAAACAGAACAACTCAATCTATCCAACTTATGAGCTCAAGCAAAAGCTTATATATTCTAGTACGAAAGGTAACCAAAATCAATACCCAAAGAAACGATTGTGAAGCCTTTGCACCCAAATGTGTACCGAATGGGATCATCGTTTTCATCTCTATGTATGCAACGAGACTAGTTGCCCAATCTCATTGTATAGTACTCGCTAAGATTCATTCTCTAATACCAAATGTAGCGCACGTGGTTTTTACCTTTTATCCTATGATGATTTACCATAAGATAACCACAAAGCGGAACCTAAACCCTCTTTGTGCCACGTGACAGATGCCATGTGTCACATGCCACATGTCCAAAGGACAATGGTGTGGAACCTGAGTTTCAAGGCCTTGAGCCACTAAATGAAGGAACGGTGCCAAACTCCCAAACATGGAGCCAAGGAGCAATGGCACTGGGGCACGGAACAACTCCCGAGCATATAGCCCAAAGAGCAAAGGGATAGGAACACAGAGTGACTTGGAATAGTCCTAAAGTGTCCAACATGTTAATGCCAGGACTAGCATGCAAAATGGAGCTAAATGGAGTTTGGCACTATTTCAACATATCGGTGGCCTAACACAAGGATATAAGTACTCTACCACCTAGCATGGTATGGAACTTATTTAGGTCTTATTTAGTCCTTGCAAAGCAAATCCTCAAAATACGGCTTGAGTAAGTTCACATGGAACACAAGGTGCATCTTCCCCATCTCTCGAGGAAGTCAGAGGCGGTAAGCCACTTTACCAATTCGTGTCTCAATTTCGTAAGGCCCCGCAAACCTGCTTAAGGAACTTAAGATAAGTTTATTTCTAGGAATACATGAATTTTTACTATTGGGTCAACTTCCAGCTGATCCCACTTAGTAGCCTTAGATTCTTAGTGTTCAGCCACACCTTTTCCCTAGGTTGGAACTCTATGTCCTGGCAGTTCATATACTTAGTCTACCTTTGTTAAGCTTGTTCCAAGGAATCCTTCACTAGATTTCAAATGTTGAGCATTTCTGCCATGAATGCCTCTATTGCGGGTAACTCTCTATGATACTCGGCTATACTGAGTTCCACAGAACCTTCTATACCTCGCCCATTAATGACTTCCTATAGTGACTTCCTATAGCTCGCCCATTGATACTCGAATGTGGTGAGTTGTTATAACATATTTTCGCAAGTCCCAAATAACTTACCCAATTGATCTAGTCTCCAGAGATATAGCATCGCAAATAATCCTCTAGCTGCCTATTCACCCTTTCTATTTATCCATATGTCAAGAAGTGTTATTGCCATCAAACTTGACTTAATATCCAATACATGTCTGTGGGTGATAAAATGTGCTAAATTTCAACTTGGTGCAATACTGTTCTAGAAGAGTTCTCTAGAACCTATAAGTGAGGATTTTATCTCGATCTGAGATAATCTCTTCTGGCCTTCCCTGCACTTGAATCACTTGTTTGAAGAACAGCTTCACCACACCTTCCACATCCACTTCTGTTGTGGTGGGTATAAAATGTGTTATCTTCAAAAACCGGTCCACCACCATGAATATCGCATCAAACCCCTTGCGTGAACTTGTAGGGAAGCATAGTGGATTGTAAGCATATAAAAAAAACTTTGAGAAATAATGTATAGTGTCCAAATGTAAAAGGAAAGGGCCCATGAATAAGAGTACATCCCTTTTTTCCAATTAGTTAAGGGTCTTGGGATATTTGGAGTTAAATGTTTTTGGTTTTGAATAGTACTTAATTGAGTGACCTCCTAGGAAGTCCAAATTCAAAAGTTTATATTTGGTATTAGGTATCCTTGCAATGGTAGCTAAGAATATATTTAATAAATATTGGAACAACCCAAGGAGTTGGCATTCTCATGATGTAAAAGAATAGTTCTAAGGGGCAAAAGTAGCCCACATGGAATAAAGGATAATTAAGTGTCAAAGTATCTTATCGATTGCAAAAGATGTCATATTGAAGTCATGAAAAGATGTTCACAAACAAAAACAACTTTTGTGAAGAGTTATATGTAAATACAATAGTGAAGTGTTAACTAATAGTTGGTATAAGAAATGACAAGTATGGTCTTGGCAAAAGACATAGACACAAGTGAAATATGTCATGAGGATAAGCTCTTAAAATTGATAGTGTGGAGACACTAAGTATCTCAAAGGAAGATGCTTAGAGGTTAAGTTGGCTAGTTCATATGCTAATGGAACTCCTATAGAAATGGGATTGGCATAGTCTAAGCTGGAAGGTATGGGATTCATATGTTTTAACCAAATATTGGTGGAGGTGTGGAAGCATTAATAATGAGTTATAAAATATGATAACTATAAGGTAATTAAGAAAAGGTTTAGAGTAAATGGTTGAAATAATAGGAGCTAACTTCATAATACTTCTTGTTGAGATAAGGAGGAGATTAGATACAGCCTTTATAGGATAATATGCTTATGTCACAATATAGTGAGTTAATGTCATAATAGAAAATGCTTATTGTTTGGGAAGTCCATTATTGAAATATATAAACACTTTAAAACAACAAAGAAGTGGTGTTTGGTATCATAAAAGCATTAGATAAAGCCCTAAAAACCAATTCTCTAGAGAATAATAGATAAAAGGTGCTATCAAGGTTAGGAAAGTAGTTCCCACATGTTTAAAGGGTTAGCTTTGAAAGAAAGTTGATATTTAAAGACTTTTATGTTTACGTATGAAACCATATTATACTGATTGAGTGACTTACTAAGTGAGATTGGAAAGTTGGAGGAACAAGGACTCTAGTTGAAGATCTTGACTTTAAGAGGGATGGCCTTTAGGGCAAAACATGGAGTCAATGCATGATCATGAACTAGTCAACAAACTTGTTAAGTGAGAGGACTTAAAAGTTCAGAGGAACTACGTCCCTAAGCTGTGATCCATAGCACATATTGGGTATAAATTGGTGCACTTGTATGAGGAGATAGTGCATGAGAAGACACGCCAGGCATCCTAGATGATGCCATCTATAGATGTATATATAGAGGTTGAGTTTGGTAAATATTTGTATATATTCCCCATATCTTTTAGGGACTAAAAAAGTACAAGGCAAAACTCAAGTGAAACTCTCTTGAGTATGGAAGTCCTAGTGCTACTCATGGTCCCTCTGCCTAATGAGTGACTCCTCTGGGAAGTTAGAGCCATCCACTATGCTTTAGGGAACACAAGACTCCTCCTAGGGTGCTCCTCCTCTCAACTACCAAGATACTAAGCCATTTTCCATTTGACTGGCTTCTCTGATGCCACATCATGATGAGCTTCACCTACCTTGAGGTATGACCAACGTAAGTGTCGCGAATGTGACTTCAGGTATCGAAAGTGACCTATCGGCCAGTCCTTACAGACACTCTTTCCTTAC